TGGGGGGTGGGGTGGCTGAACTTGGCTTTGGGGTTCAGGGGGACAGAGCGAGGCGCTTCACATCACACCCAGTCATAATGGATGGAGCTTGGCTTGTGGGTACCACACAGGAGGAGAGCGATATGTGGTCCAGGCTGAGCCCTGCTGCTAATCACTGTCTGAAGTAATGAACTATACTGTCATTCCCTCCCCCACCTCATGCCCTCTCTCTGAAGCACTGCAGCTCCCCAAAGCCCAAGAAAGAGCCTTGGAGCCAACAGCAATGAAAAAAAGAAACACCCCAAAACAAGCACAGAGCTCAAAAGCCCTCAGTAATTCTGCTGTCTCTACTTAAATCTTCTCAAATTACATTTTTTTTTAGTGAAATAAATTAACTTCCTCTTGCTTGCATTTCCTTGTATTTGTGAGGACTATGAAACCACTGAGGAGCAAGTTGTCTTACAAACCCAATCCTACATGGGAACAGTTTCCAAACATGATTGGCATCGCCCTTCATGTAGCGCTCATGAAAGTGGACCCAAGTGGAAATAAAGATAATGATTTTGCCATGGGCCAACTTTAAAAGATGGATCTATTTTCATTTATTAAATGGCAGATTAAAAACTCTACAATCTGCTTGAAGAGTCTTGAGGGAAAAGCTGCAATCCAAACATGATCTGCTTTGCTCAGGTACGAAACAAAATTGCATTCTTTGGGTTTTTGTGGAAAACAGCACGAAAAGGAAGGGTTAAAAAGCTTTGGATGTGGGGAACAGTTTCAGTGAAAGTGGTTCAGTTCCTCTGGTCCATTTATCATCTGAGCAGAGAAACATCACTGTGCGTATGAAGTTAAGAACTCTATGCCTGTCAAAACTGTTTATCTGTACTTGCCAACAACAGCAAGAAAGGCAGGAGGACTGGCAGTCGTGATGGTGAATGAGTTGGACACATGGAGTGAGGGCGCATGAGTTGAACCTCCTCACTGATTCAGAGAGGGAAAATGAGAGAGGGAAAGACCATTAAAGCATGAAGGGTCTAATCTTGGAGAGTTTAATGATGCAGCTGGTTACCAAAAAAAAAAAAATGACCTTTTGCAGAATTTTTTCATGGACAGCTGAGTAGATAGGCCAGTTAGTCCTCATGCTGCTGAAGGTACAGGAGTAAATGCCCACAGGAACAGTTACTGGGGCATGTTGGCACATTAACAGTACTGGCCTTGGGGAGCTGAGTTGAGAATACTGCACTTACGATAATTCAAAACTAATGTGATAATCACTTATTAAGGAACTATTTAGTGCTTAGTATAATTATATTAAGAGGTATAAAAAATTCCCACAGTCTAACTCAAACATAACCTTAAACCTATGTGAGGGCTGTCAAGAAAAAAAAAAAAAAAAAAAAAAAAAAAAAAAGAAGGTTGTGCTCCTGCACTTCCTGGTCTGGGTGTGAGCAGAAGAGGAAATACCAAAATACCACCAGAAAAGCTATTCCCACAGCATTTCCAACATGACTGAGTCCAGAAATTTCTGACAGTCCTGTAAAAGAGGGGGAAAAAAACCCACAACTGACCCAGACCTAAGCCTCCTACTCACTGGAAAGCCAATGAAATTTCCAGAGCTAAGAGATTTGGGTAGACCTAGACATGTCTTTGTATTTCCCCTCAGTCCTCATCTATACTCTGTTTTTACTGTGGCTCACCGATCGTGGGTGACATTTGGACTCTGCCAGCTTTGAGATGAGTACATTTCTGCTGTAGCCAGTTTAATTGCATCTGTGACCACCGATCACCAAACTACATGTTAACTGCAAGGCAGGACACCATGGTCCAGTCTAACTCAGGTGAGGGGTTCCTTGTCCTCTCTTTCCTTTTTTTTTGGAGTCAGTCCCCTACAATGAAGAGTACAAACCTATGTACACAGCAAGAACCAACATTTTAATGCATAAAATGCCATCAGTTTCAGTGTTGCCCCATGTTAATAATTAAAACTGAATTCCTGAAGCCTTGCAGGCAGAAAAGACATGAGTTTGGTCAGGCTGGTCTCACACAAACCTTCCACTGATACCAGAGAAAACCTTGAAGAGCAGCGGGAACACATTCAAAGGATTGTGTGGAAAGCTGGCACACCAGGCAATTAGTTTAATACTTCAGATTTGGAAGCTCCACAAAGAATTTGGAAAATGGCTCTTTCCCTTTATTGGTATAAAAAAGGAAAATATTCTGTCCTGCTAAACTCCAAGAATTTAAATGTTAAAGTATCTTGATTGACATGAAGTATTATATACTGAGATTCAGGACATTTTCAATAGTCTAATGAAAATCAGGGCTAAAGTAAAATTACTATGGAAAGCTGTTTTCCCTGTAGATGTTTCCTAACATCTAAGCAATTTCTGAATCAAGCTTTTTTCCCTAAAATTAGAGAACCAAATCCCTGGAGCAGCTCCAAAGAGCAGCTCAGGAATGTTCATTGCAACCACAGCCTCCAGCTATGGGACAGAACAAAAGTTGCAACAGTAGTGATGCTTTATCTTCCACATCTTACACCAGCAACACTTCCATGGGTGCCAGCAATGAAATCTGCTTCCAAGAGGTCTGAAAAGAAGACTTTTTATTTTCAAATGCTGAGTCACTGATTTTGAGACTGATCAACTCATTACATTTGTGACTGTACTTTTAACTAAAACCACCTACAGCTAATAATGCCATCATGGACTCCCACATCCAAAAATGAAGCTAAAACCTTAGCTAAGCCTCATGCCTGAATGCAGCTTTCCAGTTCATTCAGAGCAGCACAGCACTCAGCATTTTCCCTCCAACAACAGAAAGCCCCTTTCTGGCCTCCGGGAACATTGCTGCATGAAATACGTTTTCATTCCTACTGCAAACTTATTTAAGAGACAATAGGAGAAATAGTTGGTACATGGATTCTTCTTAAAACTGAAATCTTTATCAACAATAAAATGTAAAAGGCCAAGGAAACATGCAAAGTCACTCAGAAAATTCTCATTTTTCTTTTAAGATTAATTTTTGCAGAGATTGAAACATTGCAGTTTACTCAATGTGGGCCCCATTCTGCAAGTCTTTTCTAACATGAGCTCTTTTTAAAGTCACTGAGCTTGTTTACATGAGTAAAAGTTACTTACATGAGTAAGGACTCCCAGAATCTGGCCTTATACATTTTGCTACAGTAAAGTTTACCTAGATGTTATCTGGGCTGTAGAGCAGCATGTATTTTTAGGAGTTAATAATGGACTTAAGTTGTTTTTTTTGAAAAAAGTTCTAACTTCAGCTTCACCCATCTGCTTTTTGCAGTTTGCTTAGCAGCCACACTGAATGGACGCGCTCAGCCTTTGTCCCTGTCTCAGAGCTGCTCGTTACCAACCACGCTCAGCCCCGATGTGCTCTAACTCACCAGGACGCGTGAAGTCTGAATTCCCATTCCAGATTTGGTCCTCAAACCTAAGGCCATTATTCCATCTCAGACTAAAACATATTCTCCCATAGGCAGCTGAAAAAGAGCATGTTTCTTCAGGTCTTCTTGCCACAAAAAATATAAAATAAAATGAAATTATAATAATAAAAAAAGAAATCCAATGTACGGCGATCCCCAGAGTTCTGGAGTCTAAGAGTGTTGATCTGCATCCATAAATGTCCTGACCGGTGAGGAGACACAGGCACTACAACTGGAAAGAGAGCAGGAAGGAAAACCTACCATGTGAGCAAAGTGAAAAAAAAAAAAAAAAAAAAAAGAGAGAAAAGGATCTGCTCAGTGGACAGCACTTGGGCTGATAGCAGGGATTTCAGGAAATCCAAACACTCAGACAGGAAATCTGAACACTGGATAAACATGCCATAATCTCCACAGATACAGTTAATGTGCAGCGTCTCCCGTTAACCCTTACCCTGCCCATGGCTGAGGCTGAAATCAGATATGCAACGCCTGGAAACACAAGCTGCCCTGGGGAGCTCCAAAGTCTGAGCGCTCCAAAGTCTGATCAGCAAGCAGCCCTGCGTTCAACCCTGCCCTCTCCTTCCCTCGCTGCCCTGGCAAGCACATTGTCCTCACTTTATTTCTACATAGTGATGCTTTAGTTAAAAAGTGTATGACTTTCCTCCTCTGAGAAGGAGATGAAACTGCACCCCGAGCGCTGCAACAGCAACCTGACTGAACGCCTGTGTGCCACCAATCGTGGCAGTCCTGAATTAGTTCTACCTGTTTTTCCCCTCTCTCTTGCTGTAACACAAGATTTATATGGCTGTCTGTGAGATACTTGCAGTGTACCAGTGATGATTTACTCCAGGGCTGGTGCAGCAGGTTTGGGGGGGCACCTTAGAAATTAGAGGCAGACCATTCTAAAAGGAACAGGGGGAGTCTGAAAGCTCCCTTTATGCCATTTCGTTGTGAAATTGAGGATCAAACTCTTGCAGTCCTCAGTAAAAGTAAGATGAAGCCTGTTTGGTTGCTTGTTTCTGGAATATAGACATTGCTCTTTGTATTTTGTGGTTCACTCCCCATCATTAAAAACATTTTTTTCTTCAAGGCTTCTTAATAGATTTCTGTTATATGAACTACCTTGGTTAAACTATTAATGTAAAACTCTTAGCTAGCTACAAAACTAACAAGAAGCAATAATATTTAGTAGAGCTGAGCCCTCGCTCCCACAGATGTGATTAATAACGTGAAGTTTACATGACAGTTAAATCCATAGGACTACAAGCACACACACACACACACACACACAGAGTTCAGCCCCTGCCTGTTTGCAGGATGGGGAATTCACTGTGTTTTCTTTAGGAGGACAATTGCAGGCTACACTGCTTTTCAGAGGTTACTGACTCCTAAGGCAAGGGCCTACTTCCAAAAATGCTTTTTCTCTCTTAAAATTGACTTTTTGGGACAGTCTGGCCTAAAGCACTTTGGAAAGAAAATACCATGTCTTTAGATTATCTGGTTCACCTAGGATAGCAATAAAAAATGATAAAAAGTAGTAACTTGGATTTCACTTTGCCATTTGCTGTTGGGAGTAATTAGACACAGAGGTAATATCCACTGACTGGTGCCCTTGCTTAAGGCACTGGCAATTAGCTCATCTGAAATAGCCTTCATGTAAGTCCCATGTGCAATATTAACCTATATCATTATGGTAAGGTACCCAGTAGGAACAAAATAGGAGAGCTATAGGAAAAGGCTTCCTTCAGCACATTCTGCTACTTACGGCGCTTATTATTTCAGACAGAAGCTCTGGCAAACCAGCATCTGTTACAGCATTCCCTGGAAGTGGCCAGGCTTGGAAATCATGCCTGATCTACTGAGACAGGTTGTGTTGGCCAAGCGACTCCGTGGGGAGCCTGGCAGCAGAGCTGGGATGGAAAAATGGGGCTTTTGGGGCATCCCTGCCTCAGGAAATCTCCCCTGGTTTCCAGCCCAGTTCTGAGTCAAGAAACCTGTTTCAAGTTGGGTCCTCATGTTGCCTGTCATTCTTTTACTACTTGTTAGGTTGTTAGGCCAGTGATGGAGATTGGTCCCTACGAGTGTGGCTGGAGCACGGGCAGCAGCATCTGTGCAAATAGCTGGTAGAACAAAGGCTTGGCTTTAGAGGCATGAAGTCATTCCCCTTGCCTAGCAAGCGCTACATGAAACAAGTACCAAATGGTTGCTTGATGATGTCAGGAGGGAACTGGTGGAAAAACGGAAAAATTAAAACATGTCAGGGATGGACTTTTTTTTTCTTCTTGTTCCATGTGCTTTGCCAGTGAGCTATTTCAGTTATTCACTTTTTTTCCATAGGAGTTCTTCTGTTGTCACAGTTTTTTTCACCTTTCCTTTTCTTGTATTTTCCCCTTAGTGCCACTCTTTCCAGTAGCAAAAGGAAAGGAAATATAGAGGAAAAGAATAAAGTGCAGCTTTTGCTTTTTAGTATAACTGGGAAAAAGATAAAATATTCATTAACCCTCAAAATACGTATTTTGAAAGAAATGCCTTTTAAGATTGAGAGACTTTTCATTTGAAAACATTCAAGCAGCTCTTGAAAAAAAGGATCTGGGGGAAGTGGGATATAATTTATTACCACCAACATCTGCTGTAAATCAGTTAGAGGTAGGCAAACATTCCCTGCCAGGGCACAGTTAGGTCAAGGTGAGAGGGGAAAAGCAATAATTAAAAAGACCAGCGTCCTCCAGCTACCTTCAATAGGCTGTAAGGAGAAGAGCAAGTGCTTGCTCTTCTTGCACGAAACTGGTTTTTTGTCTAGAAAAATTTCAAAGGGTAAAAAAAAAAATTCATTGTTAAACTACCGGTTTATAAAACAGCTGCACAATTTCCATACAGAACCACAAAAAGTATTATACTTTTCTGGTTTTATTAGTTAAAAAAATGTTGAAAAAAGGTTGTGCTTATTGTGGAAAGTTTCATTTGATGAGAAATTTCTGTTGAAAAGCTCTACAGAAAGGTGTTATTGTCAGTCTTGGTAAAAGAGAACAGGGATAGCATGGTAGGCAGAATAATGAAGCTGACAAAAATAAACCATACAGAAACATTTGAACAGAAACAGGGTAGAGAGAAAACTTCTAACTCAGGCCAGCAGAGCTATCAAAGCTACAAAGTGGATAAAGATTCCTGAAAGGGCACAGCAGCTGCAAAAAATCCACCATCACCTGAGGAAAAAAAAAGCCAGTGGCCTTACTCAATACAGCTGTGAAGGTGCTTGCTTTTAAATTGGAAGAAAACCCTCCATCACATCCACCCTTGATGTACTCACAGCGGCTGAACTTTCTTCTCACTTGCTCTATATCCCCAGGATGTAAATTTCTGTAGTCCTAGAGCTGATAACAAAATTCTCACTTCTTCCACAAGGAAATTTGTAGCTACTGAATTGTGACAAATCAGTTCATTAAAGATTGAATGTATGTGAAAGATAAAGCACATGAAATTATAATTGAGATTGTGAACAAAATGCTTGAGAAAGATTTATCATTAACCTATGAGGCCCCAAGCTCTGTTATTTTTCATGTTTCAGTAACAAGCATTATCATTATAAATAGGAAATTTTTGTTTTCACTATAGATTTGAAACGAAGATCAGTTCTTTAATTTTCACTGCCCTACTTACTGGATTTGAAGAAGACTTCAACAGAATAATTAAAACATTTGGAGGAAGAAATCTTAGGTCCCAGTTTTGTCATTATTCACCCTTCAGTCACCCCGAGGCTTTACATGCTTGAAAAAAAAAAATATATTCACGTGAAACTAATTTACTTTCCCTTTAGAGCATGGACAGCCCTGTGTGCTCAGCAGTTCTAGACCTCAGTAGCTACTAGAAACTGGATTCCAGAGAAATACTGTGACATGCTTAAACAAAGTTCCCCCATTCACACTGTGACTCTATCTGGATTTACAAAAACATATGCTAAAACTTAGCAAACATTAGAGAAAATGAGTAGAAAACACCAACCAAAAGGATTTCATAAACACTGACACAACTTACCATAAGCTATAAACACTATTTTTCTTGCAAAACTTCAGTAATTAACTGGTTTAGAGACTTCTTGCTGTGCTACAAAACATATCTCTTTGTGCACTGGCTTTCAATTTTAACATTTGCTCTGAGATCCCTGCCAATTTTATTACTAGTCCGCTCCTTCCTACATGAGCAGTCAAGGAGGTTTACTTTTGAGATCAGCATCCCTGCTGGCAATGTTGCATGAGGAAAAGCACCAGGCCCCCTTCATCCAGAAGCAAACCATGTGCTCTTACATTACACAAGAAATGTTACCACTTTCCGCACTGTTCATTCAGTGAAATACAGCAGAAGCTGTGTTCTAACAGGTTTAACGACATGTTTGTACATTTATTAAGCAAATAGCACCTCTTGACGTTACGAAAAGGTCGAGGCATTAGAAACTGCCTTGACAAGAAGCACTTGACCCTTGGTACGTACAGGCTGTACCAATGTGCAGGAGGCTGTCACATTCAATTTTCAACTGTTTTTATGGGGTTTTGTAGGGGGTTTTTTTAAGTAGAAAAAAAATCCAAAGCATTTCCTTTTTTTGCATCTCATTTTCATTCATTCTTCCTTGCTGCAATGGCAAAAAAAGGGGAATTTTTTCATAGTCCTGTTTTTCTCTCCTGAATTTTTTTTTTCCAGGGTGGCATGTGGAAAGAGGAAACCAAACACATGTTCAAACAGTTTTTTTAACCAGATCTGATCAAAGTATGCTCTATAGAAATATAATCATTTAAGAGTACTAAGGAAAACAGCTGTCACCTAAAGATGTCCCCATGGTGTGCGTGTAGCTGCTGTCTTCAGCTTTTGCTGGAGATACGTGGAAACTCCAGGTAACATTCAGAGACAACTATATGTTGATTTATACACCACAAACACCCGTAGTAATGAAATGCTGCTGTGTGGGGAAAAGGCTGAAATTTGAATTTCTGAGTTTTTCTGCATTGTTCCCTATAGGTTTCCAGGCCTATATGTTATGTTGAAAGGGCTGGATTAGGAGGACACCTTGGATGTGCTTTGAGCATCACACCAGGCTTGTTCTCCCTTGGTCACCAAAGTCTTCCCCAGCTTCCCTTTTTTTTGGGTGAAAAAGATGCCTCTTCAGTGTGTTGTCATTGGTTTGTTGCAGAAAATTTAAATGACAAACACAACACATGATTTCCAGACGTTAATAAACACTA